GGAAAAGGAGGACAGAGACACCTTTGTAGTCAGAGAGTGTCTTAAGGGCAGAGAGGGAGATAAGCTAGTTGCCTCTGGTTTCAGGGGCTGAGCTGATACTGGTCCTGAGGGACCCCAGCCACCCCTCCTTGTCCCTGGTTGTCCCAGCTCCAGAATCTGCTGAGGGAGAGATGGCCTGGGAAAGGAGGGAGTGGTCAGCAGCCAATCACATCCATGACAGCCTAAGGCCTCTGTGCCTGGACTAACCAATCCCCTCCAAGAAGACAGCTCCCTCAGCCCCTGCTCCTCCTCCCTCCTTGCTCTGCCCAGCAACAGCAAAGAGGAAGTCCCTGCAAACTCCCAGCCTCTGGCAGGGACTGGAACTGGGTCCCAAGCTCACTCTATAGAGAGAGGTTAAAACAATATTTAGAGTTCCTGGAGCCCAGGCAAAATGTCCCTGGGGATTCCCAAGGCCATCAAAGCCAACCTTACTCAAAGACAGGAAATCATTCACCCCACAGTTCTGGGGCAGGCTGACAGGCTGAACAGCAGAAACAGAGTTTGGGTGGAAGAGCCAGGACATTGACCAAACAATTTCAAAAATGCCTACTTAAAGGAAAAGACATTATGAAAGAGAATAAAGGAAAATCTATTTTTGATTAGCTTTCAGAAACTTTCTTGCTTTCACTTCTTTTTGTCCAGGTTTATGATGCCTCTTTTACTCCTTTCTTTGCCACCAGAGGCCTCCTGCCTGTGGAGAAAAATGTGGTCTTCATTATCCATGTGATCATCTATGTTTGGTACCAAAGTGGAGCAGGTAACAAGAATCCTGGAGGCTTTCCATAGCCCTGAAAATAGGAGGCCCAGAAAGCAGAGCATGCAGGAAGAGTGGTGCTCTGGGCCCAGAAACCCTGCCATCCCATCACCCTTGAGTGTCTAACAGGCCCGGGGGTTCCATAGAGTACTGGACCCTCATGTAACAGGAGCCACGTAGAGCTACAGTCACAGAATCTTAGAAATATTTGAGACACAGGCAGGGCCTGACTCCAGAGAGACACTCAGTCATAAAATTCCAGGGTTTCTAGGGGCTAAGAGTCACAGAACCCTCAAGCCAAAGAGCCCTGGGATCACAGAATTCTGAACCAAAAGAAAAAAAAAAAAAAACACCTCAAGTACCAGAGACTCTGAAACTTCCTGAGGCCACAGGGCACTTAGGTTTCAAAGTAATAACAGTACAAAAATAAAAAATCTCACTGCCATTGAATCAATTCAGACTCATAGCAACCCCTATTGGGTTTTGTAGACGGTAAA